TCCCCCTTCATTTGGAGTACAATACATCCATATATCCCCCTTCATTTGGAGTATAATACATCAATATATCCCCCTTCATTTGGAGTTCAATATGACATCAATATATCCCCCTTCATTTGGAGTACAAAACATCAATATATCCCCTTTATTTGGAGTACAACACATCAATACATCCCCCTTCATTTGGAGTACAATACATCAATATATCCCCCTTCATTTGGAGTACAATACATAAATATATCCCCCTTCATTTGGAGTACAATACATCAATATATCCCCCTTCATTTGGAGTACAATACATCAATATATTCCCCTTCATTAGGAGTACAATACTACATATATCATATATCCCCTTTATTTGGAGTACAACACACCAATAAATCCCCCCATATTTAGAGTACCCTTCATTTGGAGTACAATACATCAATATGTCCCTCTTCATTAGGAGTACAATACATCAATACATCCCCCTTCTTTAGGAGTACAATACATCAATATATCCCTCTTCATTTGGAGTACAATACATAAATATATCCCCCTTCATTTGGAGTTCAATATGACATCAATATATCCCCCTTCATTTGGAGTACAAAACATCAATATATCCCCTTTATTTGGAGTACAACACATCAATACATCCCCCTTCATTTGGAGTACAATACATCAATATATCCCCCTTCATTTGGAGTACAATACATCAATATATCCCCTTTATTTGGAGTACAATACATCAATATATCCCTCTTCATTTGGAGTACAATACTACATCAATAAATCCCCTTCATTAGGAGTACAATACATCAATACATCCTCCTTCATTTGGAGTACAATACATCAATATATCCCTCTTCATTTGGAGTACAATACATCAATATATCCCTCTTCATTTTGAGTACAATACTACATCAATATATCCCCCTTCATTAGGAGTACAGTCAGCTCTCGTTAATCCGACACTCGTTAATCCGACAATCACGTTAATCCGACAAAAACTTAGGGAACCATTTAAAACAGTGATAATTACTCTCGTTAATCCGACATTCTCGCATTCCGACTCCGACACACCAATCTAGCAACCGATCATTGTACACACATTGTAAAAACATTCGTTAATCCGACAATCAACACAGCCGGTCGGATGATCCGACCGTATACAAACATCACACATGAAAGGTGATTAGCGCGTGCCATACTGGCTGCTTGACACCCACGTCGGTGAACATCACACTTGTTAATTAGAAACACAAGATAATTAATTGAGGCGATTTAATCAAGAAATAACAATAGAGCGAGCTGTATAAAACGTTTACAACCGACCTGAGCATTCATCACGACAAGATGTCTGTCACGAGTACACCACCTGCTAAGCGAGCCCGAGTAGAAGTTACACCATTGATCAAGAAAGAAATCTGCCTTTTGAAGAAGGACAAACCCCAGACAACACAACAACAAGTCATCACTTTTGCTGCGCAGAAGTTTGATGTGAAGATTGGACGATCAACCGTATCTGACATCCTGAAGCAGTCTGCTAAGTGGTTGAGCGTCTCTACGACTGATTCCAATACTTCAAGAGCTAGAAAACCCAAGCAGGAGGATCTTGAAAAGGCATTGTTTTTATGGTTTACCGATGTTAGAAGTAGGTTCATTAATGTGAATGATGAACTGTTAAGAGAGCAGGCTAAGATTCTAGGGGAGAAATTAGGGGTTACTGACTTTGCCTACAGTAGTGGATGGGTGACCAGATTTAAGCAGCGACATGGAATTAAGACGCACAAAATTCATGGTGAATCAGCCTCAGCCCCACAGAGTTCTGTAGACGCAGGTAGAGAAGAATTGCAGCAAATCCTGGCAGTGAATACAATCCGTGTGACGTCTACAACTGTGATGAAACTGGCTTGTTTTACAAAATTGAACCCAATACCACACTGAGCACTTGTCCTGTGTCTGGCAAGAAACAAGCAAAAGATCGTCTTACTGTTATGCTTGTGGTGAACGCATCAGGCACTGACAAACCTAAACCACTGGTAATATGGAAATTTAACAGGCCCAGATGTTTTGGTAGAACTTTTGATCCTAATTCTGTGTGCCACTGGTATTCAAACAAGAAGGCTTGGATGACAGCACTGATCTTACAAAAATCCTGCCACCTACTGACAGCCAGATCGAGCCCGACAATGAACCAACTGAAGACGTCCAAGACTTACAGGAAACTCTTGACAAGCTATACCCGGATGCACCCGTACCTGTCAGTGACTTCCTAGAATATGACGCAAATCTGCCATGTGAGGAAGCCATGACAGAAGATGATATCATCGAGATTGTCCGACCTACTGCCGAAGAAGAAACAACAATCAACACTGAAGATGACCAGACAACCGAGCCAATCATTCCCAAGCTACCTGAGGTCAAAAGTTTGTTGAACAGTTTACAGACATTTGTGACACACAACTTAGACGTGTTTGATGTGGGTGACCTGGACTTCATCGACACGTTGAAAACTAAAATGCAGAAGACCTCAGAAAAAAATGAACAACAAAAAACCCTCAAAGACTATTTCAAGTTTTAAATTATTGTTCACGAGACATCCATATGTTACTGTGGAACTAGTTGTATGCAAACAGTGACTCATTCAACATCCGGGTCATAATGGCTGCTGAGAGTGAACTAGCGACGACTGGTAAAACAAACGTGAGTTTTGTGCCAATGTGATTTTGAAATCGATACGAAACTGATTGATTATGTGATTTTATATGTACATGTATGTTATGCCATCTATGATTGTTAATAAATGATATCAAGGATGTATTGTTATATTTTTTATTACTGAATGTTTTTACAAACGAAGACGATAACCAGATCTACAATTTCTGATATTTTCCGACATTTTCGTTAATCCGACATTTTTGTTAATCCGACATATTTCTCTGCAACCACAAGTGTCGGATTAAGGAGAGTTGACTGTACAATACATCAATACATCCTCCTTCATTTGGAGTACAATACATCAACATATCCTTCTTCATTTGGAGTACAATACATCAATATATCCCTCTTCATTTGGAGTACAATACATCAATATATCCCCTTCTTTAGGAATACAATACATCAATATATATCCCTTTATTAGGAGTACAATACATCAATATACCCCCCTTCATTAGGAATACATCAACACATCCACTTTATTTTGAGTACAATACGACACCAATATATCCCCCTTCAACATTATATCCCCCTTCATTAAGAGTACAATACTACATGCATGCATCGATCCCCTTCATTAGGAGTACAACACTACATGCATATATCCCCCTTCATTTGGAGCACAATACAACATGAACATATTCCCTTCACTTGGAGTACAATTATGCAATCACAACATGTTGTATATGTAGATATTTATCACATAACTCCACACTTGTTTGGCCCTGATAAACCTTGAAGCATTATCATGAAAAACAGGGGTATAAAACTGATGATCATCAGTTTCTTGCACAAATTTTACTGATGTAGATGCTGGACCTGGTTGTCTCGGATCAGTGAGGAATTAGCTTATTGTGCTTGACATTGGGCTATTTCAAAACATGACAGTGAGTGTCACATACACGACCCACAGAACATTGTATTCCATCTTGTGTTGGTATCCAGCAATCATGCTAGTCACATCACACAAGAGAGAAGTTTATCTTGCATACACATAACCCCCCAGAGTAGACAGGTTGTCTCAATGGGTCTACTGGTATGCACAGATGAATGAGAATATAAAGTCATCAATATATCCCCCTTCATTTTGAGTACAATACATCAATATATCCCCCTTCATTTGGAGTTCAATATGACATTAATATATCCCCCTTCATTAGGAGTGCAATACATCAACATATCCCCCTTCATTTGGAGTACAATACATCAATATATCCCCCTTCATTTGGAGTTCAATATGACATTAATATATTCCCCTTCATTAGGAGTGCAATACATCAACATATCCCCCTTCATTTGAAGTTCAATACATCAATACATCCCCCTCTATAAGGAGTACAATACAGCAATACATCCCCTTCATTAGGAGTACAATACAGCAATACATCCCCCTTCATTAGGAGTACAATACATCAATATATCCCCCTTCATTTGGAGTTCAATACATCAATATATCCCCTTCCTTAGGAGTACAATACAAAATATATCCCCCTTCTTTAGGAGTACAATACATCAACATATCCCCCTTCATTTGAAGTTCAATACATCAATACATCCCCCTCTATAAGGAGTACAATACAGCAATACATCCCCTTCATTAGGAGTACAATACAGCAATACATCCCTCTTTATTTGGAGTACAATACATTAATACATCCTCCTTCATTAGGAGTACAATACATTAATGTATTCGCCTTCATTAGGAGTACAATACTACATGCATACATCCCCCTTCATTAGGAGTACAATACTACATCAATATATCCCCTTCATTAGGAGTACAATAATTCAATCACAACATTACGTATATATATACATATATTTGTCACATAACTCATCTCCTCTGTTTCTTGTACACCATTATAGAGGTACAGGATGTCATCATCCCACTCACCTCGTGATGTTCCCAGTAAGTCATCAATACATTCACCTTGATTACCACAAGATGTTCATACTAAGTTTCGAGAAGAATTTCAAATGGTTACAATCTGGACACCCAATCATCTCTCACTATTAAGACAACAGATTAAATAACAAAGACACCAAACAAAGGTTGCTGTCATTGACAGCATTGATACACAGATATTTTATACTAAGGACTCAGGACTAAAAGCTGACACTTAAAGATAATGATCTGAACCAAATATGTTGTCCTCGTAAGAGAAACAGCCAAGAGGTGCCCAAATGTCCATTCAATCCAATAATCTGCATGCTGTTAACGCTTCATGTTGAAAAATTGAAACAGAACCTCTTGAACTGATTTAAGCATTGAAGTCAAGGTGTATTGATTGTATTACCTGTGTCAGTTTTGCTGGAGTGCTGTGTTGGGAGTGTTCATGGACAGAGACGTACATCGGGTTGGACAAACTTAGTCGTGCAAGGTCTTTCACCGACCTGAAAGAAAGAAGTTGGCTCAGCATAGATAGTGACAAATACAAGTAAACTTTCAAACCATTCGAATATACAAACATGAAATTTTTAGAGTAAAATTAATATTTTATACTTATCCTGACTCATGCTTATTGCTTGTCTTCTTCTTCTTGCGAACCTAGTGAAACACGTGTATCTCCCAATTGAAGTTCCCTTCAATAAAAAAATCACTCATTAGTACTCACCATGAGTAACCTCCCTTCCGCAAGCGCGGGAAGGAGGGCGCCACCTGCACCCACGTGCCTCACTCTCTCCTTTTTTGTTTTGAGCCCGACACATTATTTTTCCGAAGAAATCCAAATCCAAAGTGTTTAGTGGGGAGGACGGGAGGGCTTACCTCATGAGTCAGGATAAGTATAAAATATTAATTTACTCTAAAAATTTCAGATTTTTCCTTATCCTGACTCATGCTTATTGCTTGTAGAATCCGACGGAACAGGAGGTGGGATTATATATACTTTGGATTTTAATAATTAGTGATTTTGAACTGAGATGATTGTAATAACCCTATGGGAACTTCATAAAGGCACTGAACTGAAGAATTCCTGCTGTTAACTTATCAGCTGCCATATAAAGGTTATTACAAATTTAGTGAAGATAATAAAAGTATATACAACATTAAGGTAAACTGAAGCCATTAATGTGATAGTATAAACTTCTGAGAGTTTATAGTGAATACTTTTATAATGAACCAAAGTATTGCTTACAATATGCATATATATAAGCTATAATAGTACTGTGCTTAAGAAATAATATAACTTAAGCTGTATAATAGTAACCAACTACTTAGAGTTTGTTAACTAATACATGTTATGAATTGAACATATGACTGAGCTTAAGGATTGATAACTTAAGCTGAACATATATATAATAGCAGAACTCCTAGGAGTTGAAAGCATATATATAGTATGATATAGAATCATAGTACTGAGCTTAAGATAATAAATTAAACTTAAGCAACAATATATAGATAGCATGTAGCTATTAGTACTGTTATCAGATAAGTATAAATCTGTAAGATAAACTTATCTTCTCCGTGGAACTGTCAACTGTTGAGCGAGGACCATGGGACCGAAATGGTGGATACCTGAGACATCCTTGGTGGTGATATCTCTCAGATAGTGGTTGGCAAACACCATATCGGATCTCCAAAAACATCCCTCCATAATGGTATTCAACGAGCAATTTCCATGTAGAGCGAGAGTTGAGGCTAGCCTAATTTCGCGGAGGATTAGAAGCTCTTGGAGGGTCGAGTCCTGCAGCCTTGTAGGCATCAGAGTATGACAGTTCTGATCCAAATAGAAATCGTGAGCACGCCGACACTTCTGGTGTCTGGCGGCGGTGGATATAGGGATAAACAATCTTTGAATTTCCCACTACTTTTCTTGGATCGTTGGAGATATATTTTCAGTGCACGCACAGGGCAAAGTGATAGGTCCATCAGATCATGCGTCCAAGTATGGATGAGAGAGCTGGGACATGGAACAACCTGTCTGGTTGACCTGGCAGTTGATTTTTGCTATAAAATCCCAGCAGAGTCCCAGATGAGCTTGATGTTATGAGTATCATCAAAGCTGTTCTCTCAGAATCCAAAGCTGAATCTCAGACATCCTGGCTGCAGTAGCTAATGCTAACAGGAATAAGGTCTTGTGGGTCAGTGATTCAAACTAAGCAGATAACAATGGCTCATAAGCCTCACTCGCGGAGGTGTTGGAGTACTATACTTAGATCCCAGGCTGGAGCTTGAAACTTCCGCTTCTGATCTTCCAATCGGAATGCTCGTGAACAAAGCCGAAAGTAACTCCGTGTTTTGGTCAACTTGACGTTTCATTCTCATAGTTATGACAGAACTTAAGGCTGCAAGATAAGTGGACAAGGTTGAGCCTTTTAGATTCTTAGTTTGACGTGAGGTAACATAAGAAATCTGCCACTTGAGGGATGTAGCATATCTGGCTGTAAATCCTTTCTTAGCAGCCGAATTGACAAAGCTGTGCCATTTGTCATCGCATGCTACGAGTTGAGTTACGAGTGCAAGCGCGACCACTTTAGTCAGCTTCTGGCAGAATAACCTCTTATTCAAACATGCCTTGATACAATCCACACGGAAGTTGGTATGCTTCTGGTGTCTTGTGCACTTGTTTGGTGTGCGGATGTATCAATAGATTGGTGCGCAGTGGTAGCTGAAGTACTGGTTTTCCGATTCCTAGCATGAGATCTGGAAACCACGCTCGCAGGCCAGTATGGCGACACCAAAATGAGATCGAGGCTCTTCGCTTGACTGATTTTCTGTAAGACTTGTGGGATTAACGCGAGGAGGCGGAAAGCGCACGCGATTGAGTCCCTCCCACGATATGCTTAGTGCGTCCGTTGCCCATGCTAGTGGGTCTGGCACTGGCGATACAAAGGTTGTCAGTTGTTTGTTGAATCGATAGGTCTATCAATGGAGATCCTATTTCCATGATTATTTGATTGAATATCTCTGTGTGGAGCATCCATTCTGTCGGCGAAGGTTGGTGTGGCCAAGAGAGAGCGTCTGCTAAAGCATTCTTTGCTCCTGGAATGTGGCAAGCTCTGACATGTATGTTTAGATTGTCGACTAAATCGAACAGTCTGAAACAACGATTGAGTAGATTCAGTGATCTTGTTGAACCTTGTTTGTTCACATAAAACGCCACTGTTGAATTGTCTGTGTGAATCATCAACTGAGCCGCTCTGTAGTAGGTTGCTCCAGTGACTTATGGCGCTTATGACTGCTTGCATCTCTAGCAGATTTATGTGACATTTGCTCTCTTGCTTGCTCCATAGGCCTGACGCTGTCCTGCCGCAAGGTGGGCTCCCCAACCTTTTAGTGACGCTGGCTCATGAGAGATGTGTTTTCGATTCCGCTCTACTAAGGAGACGCTTCGCGCAAACATTCAATCTCTTGGTCCACCAGAGTAGATGTGGTTTGACGTAATCTGGTAGATTGAACGGTAGAGGGTCCTCGAGATGAGCATTGATGAGGACTTGTAATGGACGCAATTGAAGCCTGCCTCTGAGTGTCAGGTCTTGAGCTGATGTGAGTAGTCCCAATAGGCTCTGCCACTGTCAGAGTGGTAACGAGAGAGTAGGGCTTGGGGAATCAGTTGTTGGATCTTGATCCATCTGTCCTCCGGGACTACTAAACGATTCTGAGCTGTAAGGAATCGTATACCTAGAAAATGCAGATCCTGCATTGGTTTTAGGTCCGACTTGAGTAGATTTACTAACCAACCTAATTGAGTTAGTAACTTGATTATAAAGTTCAGCTGTAGTCTGAGACGCTGTGGATCTGGATCCACTTGTATACCGTCGTCTAGGTAAAATGCGCTCCGCAGACCTTGACGATGTAGGTATGAGACAATAAGCTTGGTTACTCCTGTGAATACCCAAGGGGCTGAAGTGATTCCGAAGGGAAGTACGTTCCATTGATAATGTATGCCGTCTAGGATAAATCTTAGATATTTCCTTGAGCTGGGATGAATCGGAATGTGTAGATATGCGCCTTGCAAATCTATGCTGGCCATGTAATCTAGTGGACTAATTAATTCGCCGGGTTGTGGTAAATGTATCATGCTAAACGCTGGTGGTTTGCATAGATATTCTCTGTTGAAGGTGCTCATGTTGTAAATGAGACGATACTTCTCCTTGGAATTCTTTTTCGGCACTAGGAAAACTGGGAGTAGAAACCTGGTACGATGTTTCGCTGATCCAGAACTTCTAAGGCCTGTTTGTTTAGCAGAGACTGTACTGTTTCTCTTAACATAGGTAGTTGAGCCGGTTGAACGTTGAACCTTGGTGGGGTGACTGTTAACGGCGGCTTGGTCTTGAGTTGTATGAGATATCCGTGCTGTAGGATGTTCGATACATAAGGATCTTGTAGTATTCCCCAGTTTTCCCAGTGTAGTTGAAGACGTCCACCCACTTGAGAAGGTTGTACTGGAACGACTGGGGATGGAAGACTCCAGTTGTTAAAACCCACCTTTTCTCAGTATACTATGTATAACTTCATCTGTAAATACTCCAGTGTAAATATTCTGTAGCGCTTTGAGCATGCCTTAGGGTGTGGAAGGGGCGCATTATAAATATGCATTTATTATTATTATTGTTCCGAACCTGCCTTTCATCATTTAAATCCACGGCCACCTCTGGATGATCTGCCTCTCGCTGATCCTCCTCTAAATTTGCTGTATGGGCGACGAAAAGAATCCTTGGGATTATTAGCTGCAGCTAGTTTCTTGTCCCGTGCTCTCTGTAGCCCTGAGAACTTAGACTTGCCCGAGTATCTCTGTGCTGACTGTTTAAAGGCGTTCGCTAAGGTATCCATGGATCTAATCATAAGTACCTCTCTGGAATCTTTAGATACTTCTTTGGAGACCTTGTTTATGTTGCCACCAAACAGAAAGGGTGATGACCATGGAGCTGTGTAAAGAGGCTCTGTGAATTGCTTATTCCAAGAGCAAGAGGCTAGTAGTCCTTGCCTACTGCCATGGTAGTAGTTTCAGTAAGCTGAAAGGTGTTCTGTAAGGAATTGGTGGTCTTTTTCTGCATGAGTAGAGCTGAATAGATCATTCTGTCTTCCTCATCTGTAGAATTCTTGAACTTGGTGATGAGAGTCTCATTAATAGTTCTAGATCTATTTAATCCCAAGAACATCCTCCTGGAAATGGTATCTAATTGGGCCAGTTTTGCATCGCCTCACTCTGTAACTTCTGGACTTGGTATCAGAGATAAGTTGAAAGTTGTCATCAATATCCTGGGCCTTGGAAAAGGGTTCCATATTATGTCCAGCAAATTTCTTGGCATTGAAGACCGGTAAATGAGTAGATTGGGCTTTAGTGGATTTGGAGCAGGCTGTATCTAGTTTAGCTAGTAATGGCCAAGCGATTGGGTCAATAGGAGGTAAGGTGATATAATCTACATCATCATCCTTCATCAGGTAAGTC